TCAACCTTCTTGTTTTTTAAAAGCAGTTTTCATGGGAGGAGTTGTTCATAAAGATCAAGTAGCTTAAAAAATAAATAAATCTGCCATTGAATGATGCTAGTACATAATTTTTAATTGGAGCTTAGCTAAATTTTTGTGTCTTTTGGTTTTAGTGTCAGGTGTTGCATTTAGTGTCAGGTGTTCAGCAAAGGAGAATCTTGAATTCAACAGCTAAGTAAATCACATTGAAAATGAAGAGGAGGAGAGAGAGAGAGAGAGAGAGTGCACAAAGAGATTGCATTCCTAAGATAGTTCACAGAACATCTAACAGGAGCCACTGAACCTTTTGAGGCAGGCCACTGTGCAGTCCCTGCAATTTGTAAGACCAATGTCATCAAGCTCTATCCCACCCAACTGAGATGAGATGCAAGCCAAAATGTATTCCATCCATATACTCTGAATTTTTCTCCCCCATCCCAGTCCATGTTATCTATAAGCCAGGTGGTGGACCAGTCAGATAGCCATGTGCTCTACTTTACAGTTCTCTGCTTGGAGAGCTCTATTTGAAGGAATCTTCTATATAAAGACTCATAAGAAGGGTGAATATATAATCATAGGATTGTAGGGTTGGAAGGGACCACAAGGGTCATCTAGTCCAGCTTCCTGCAATGCAGGAATCTTTTGCCCACCATGGGGCTCAAACCCACGACCTTGTGATTAAGAGCCTCATGCTCCACCAGCTGAGCTACCTGGGCCCTTGAAGTTGCCTGTCAACAACTAGCAGGCTGAGCAGCCACAAGTATCACCGGATCACAGCCTTCCCCACTGCAGTGAGATATATTTCTATTTAACTTACAGCCATCATTTCTAAATTTGCATTTATACATGTAATCTAGCATACGTACATGTTGGGTTGTTTTTTTTTAAAAAAAAATATCTGTCCTCATTTGTCCTCTCTTTTGGTGATGTGTCAGTGGCTATCCTGTTTGCCAGTTGCATGGACTGAGCTGGCGTTTGTAGAGTGTCTAGCAGGGCTGTGTCTCAGCTTTAGCTCAGTTGCAAAGCTCTGTTAAGGATTGTGTGACACCCTCCTTTCCAGGCCTCAAGAGCTTCTCTGAGCTACACCTTCTGGGCTGGCTCAGGACCACACAGTTTTCTGGAACCTTTTAAAAAAGAAACTACCCTTGGTTCTTTCCCCCTGTTTCCTTCTGGCGTACAGGACTTGGATGAGAAATAGACATAATGCCAGGTGGGCAACTGAGAGCACAAATGCACACACAACCAGAAGTGTGTTTCCCCAATAGCAAAAAATAAATAAAGCAATAGCTCAGCTCAAATTTTAATGAGAGTTGCATAGTTGATCTTTTAATTGGGCCAGGATAAAAAAAGAAAGCTGGAAATACAGTCATACTTCGAGTTACAGCCGTTTCAGGTTGCGTCTTTTCGGGTTGCGGACTGCCGAAACCCGAAAGTACAGGAATGGGTTACTGCACATGCGCAGAAGTGCTAAATCGCAACCCGCACGTGCACAGACGTGGGTTGTGAACGCTGCGGGTTGGAAATGTGCATGCCATACAGATCACATTCGCAACCCGAGCATCCACTGTATAATCAAACAATACAGCCCTAGAGGTCTAGGTAACCTAGTCATTTTCCTGGCTAGCCCTCTTCACTCAGGATATACCAAACCTTGTGTAAACACAGATATCTGCCTTATACTAAGTCTATGTAGCTTAGTATGGTCTGCACAGACTGGCAGTGGCAGGATTCTTTCTGTCCTGCCTGGAGATTCCCGGGGATTGAACCTGGAAGCTTCTACATGCAAGCAGATGCTCTACCAGTGAGCTATGATCCTCCTCCTTTAATTCTGCAGACCTTTAATTCTGAAGTAGCTATAAAAGAGCAGGTGAGGCACGAAATGCAACACAAGACTCAAAAACCAATCCGTCAGGCATGAATCACTGTAGTAAATTATAGTTCTCTGTGCAACGCAATAAGCACCCGTTGGATAAAAGTCAGATATGCTTCAGTTTAACACGGGGAATTCCAATACATCTCTCTTTAAAAGATTCCCCCTTCCAAACGAAGGAATGAACTCAGAATGTTAAGGGCAAAATAAGAGACTGAGGGGAAAATATTTTACATACCTTCTGAGAACTTTCTGCTAGCATGCTAAAATAGAATTGTAAAATTGTCCTAACTGGGATAATGATTAGTAGGCAAAACTGAAATGAAATGAAGGCAGCTCAGAGAAGGTGTGTGATTCAATAGTGACAATATTTATTAGTTACACAGCATATTTTAAAAATCAGGTGTTCTAACTAAATTTTAAACAAAAGGCTCTGCTCTCCAGTCTTGTAAGGGGGGGGGAGACATTTAAAAAGTGGTGCAACAAAATGGAAAGAACGACCTCTTTAAATGATAATGTGAAATGCTTTGCACCCTTCACCATGTCGTGAGCCAATCCTGCTGCATCTGTGGGCCCTCCTGCTCATTCTGCTGAAGGGAACCCTGGACTCCTCCCCAACAGCACCTTTGACTCGCCAGATGTTATTGGACCTCCATCAGCCCCTGCCAGCCCAGCCATTAGTCAGGAATCCTGGAAGAATATCTAGAGGACCATGGGCTCCCCATACTTTCGTTGGACCTAAAATGTAACATAATGGATCATCTAAATATTTAAGATAATTTTATATTTCTCATTTGAATCTTCTGTCTCATCTAGCATTCACACTCATTGCTTATTTTTATTTATTTATAAGTATTTATATACCACGAAATCATAAAATATCTAGTTGGTGTACAACATCTAAACATTAAACACCGTTGAAAATGATATGGACAATCATTAAGGTGACTGGCTAATCAAAAATGCACACAGGTGTCCTGCTTTCAGAATGTTCGTTATCCACAAATTCTAGCGTGTGTGTGTGTGTGTGTGTGTGTGTGTGTGTGAGAGAGAGAGAGAGAGAGAGAGAGAAATTCACCCCTAATTGGTTTTTGGTTTTTTTAAGAACCATGCAATGCCTTTTACTAAGCTGTCAGATAAGATTGATGAGAGCTCCTCCTCATTTAAATCCCTCCTATGATACGTCTGAATTTTCCGCTAGGATTTATAAATGAAGCCAATCCGATTCTGCCTCTGGGTGGTTTAAAGGTCAATTGTGGTTATATGGATTGGGCCCAAAGGAAGAGGGCAAGCAAATGAGGAATTGGTGAGCCCTCTGAAAGCCACCGAGGTCCCACAAAAACCTGGAGCTGGCGCTGATGCCAACAGACACACCCAAGGAATTTGTGGAATTTTTTCAACCACCCACTAATCACAATTCCAGCCACAGATTGCGCTCCCAGAGTAGCCAGTCCCGGAAGATAACAACCAGCAAGTGTAGATAGTCAAATGGGCTCCTTATGCCATGCAACCCTGTGCAAATGTCTCCCACAAACACAGAGCGCATCACCAGGTGCCTTCATGGAACTATGGGTAGGAAGTCTACAAAGAGAACTCTGAGGCTTCTGAATTTGAATCCACTTAGGAACAACACGTCCACTCAGGAAAAAAATTAAAATAAATTAAACCATGGACTCTTGTATTGATATCTTTGTGAAGGGAGCCAGCATTTTTGCAGAGGAAAGTGGTGTGAGCCAATGACTAAGGACGAATGAATTTTACAATGTTACAGCTCGGAAAATTACATGAGGGCAGATGTCCAGTGTTCTCTGTTGACTCTATTGACTTAGTGTTATAACACCATCTATTTTGCAGGTATAATGTCACTCTGTTGTCAGGGGCAAGATCAACTCCTGAGCGATCACAGAATTTTGGCCTGTTTATCATCTTCCTTGACAAGAGTCCCTCCAATATTATTTCAACTGAGCGTGTGTGTGTGTGTGTTTTCAAGCATTGTGTGTTCCACCTGGACAAAGGGGTTTAGAAGCAATTGTATCCCTCTATCAGGAACACAGCTCAAGGATATAGGATTGCTCTGTTAGCCATATACAGTAGCTATTTTAGTTAGTTAACCACTTCCAGGATATCAATTGCTTGCTATTTAACGTTTTTTCGCGATCAAACTTTTAAGAGGTTTCATAGGAAAGTGGAAAGATTTCTATATGAATTCCAGAAGTTCCCTTCCTCTCTTGCAATGTTTCCCCCCCTCCAGAACCAGAAGGTGGCCATTAATATCACACAGAATTATATTGGTCCCGTGGGATCAAGTTTACTGCAAGAAATGGCACATGAGCCAATGGTTCTTCACAGCACTGTTTCAGTTGCAGGCATTCCCAAAGTGATAGTAAATGATAACCTCAAGTTAATTTAGTGTGATCCTCATATTAACGATTCACAAAATGATATATATATCCTCTTTCACTCTATTGATGAAGCTGCGTGCACAGGGACTTGTTAATAAACTGTTCTAAGCAGGGTCTGCCTCTACCAGAGCCTCTACCAGAGTGGTATTCAAATGTGGCAGCGGGGTTCCAATTTTGAAAATTTCATTTGGATGCCATCTCTAGCTAATAATGTGATTGCTAGCGTTTGGGAATGTCTCTGTATTGCTAACAGAATCCTTATTTTTAATATACAGTAAGTATGCTAATCACAACTGGGTCCAGATTTGCAAATCCTGGAAATGTGTGTCCTTTGGAGGGAGATGTGGTGGGTGTCCATCTTCGGAACACAGTAGCTCCTAATTTTCCTCCTACAAATGGAATGGAGTTCAAGTTCATGGAAGAGGGCTTCCCCTCCTGCCTTGCAGTCATGCTGCAACCTTGAAATCTGCTGCTGGGGGTTGGGGAAACCTTGAGAATAGTGTGGGAAATGGTGCTAGCAGGAAGAGGTGGTTCGAGGAAATAAGCCTCCCTTCAATGAGTTAAGTCCCAAGGCAACAGAATCACAAGGGCAACATATGAGGGAGACACACATTTCTCCATTCCTCCACCCCAGAGCAATGAAGCCTGGGGCAAAAAGCACCTGTGTCCCATCTCCCAACACGTTCTTCATGTGTATGGAGCACATGAAGAGGTGTGTGATTGGTGGGGCAGACCCTTGAGGAAGGGAGCATGTTAGCTTCCTTTATGACAACGCAAGGAGGGCAGTGACAAGAGGAACAGCCACCTAGAGCAGCAAAATAGGCTGAGCGCAGTATGGGATCTGCATCTACTGAGAGAGGTTGGTAAGAAAAAAGCTCGGAGCCTTCTGATTTAGTGCAGGTACTAAATATCTTGATTTCCATGCAGGCATTTTATTTTATCAAAATGTTGCACTTTGCTGTTTCTATAGAAGGGTATGCATGGGAAAGATGTTGCTCGACTACAACTCCCATCATCCCTGAGCATTGGGCTTGGCTGGTTGGGGCTGGTGGGAACTGGAGTCCATCAACGTCTGAAGGGCCACACATTCCTAGCCCTGTTCTGGGGTAAAAAAATATAATATCTTTATACAGGCAACCCGGTTGCATTCTGGATCATCATGCATGATGGCCCATTCCACCTGCTTTTCCAGCCACTTCCGGGTAGTCACGATGCATGCATGCATGGTTGTGCAACAACTGGACATGTGTCAATTGGTCGTTGCCTAGATTGAAATGGCAGGAAATAAACCTAACGAAATGAGCCTGAGTGAAGAGGCACGAGGTGCTTACAAAACTGCAGGAAATATTGGAGCTGGGTTTGAATTGCTGCTGTCCTCCCCACCTCTGCCGCTCACTCATCAGTTACCTTTTTAAACCATTTCATCTCTTTTCCTTCCTGTGTTTTGTTCTTCCCTTTATCCCAGAAATCTGCCTTTTGACCAAGGGCCGCCGCACCGCCAGTGTGAGAGCTGACACATACTGCCGCCTGTATTCTCTCTCTGTGGACAACTTCAACGAGGTTCTGGAGGAATACCCCATGATGAGAAGAGCCTTTGAAACAGTAGCCATTGACAGGCTGGATAGGATAGGTATGTTTTTGGTGTTTCCCCCCCTTTTTCTGTTCATATAGCACCAGCCACAGAAGTATTTGTCTTTTAGGTCAAGAAAACTAAAACATTGTGCTCTACTAATGTAGTGGTATCTTTCAAGGTATGGAGGGATAAATAGCTGCAGTAAATAAATGCAAAAATAAGGGCCAAGCCAAGACATTTTGCTGCCTGAGGACAAGTTGGTTTCCCTATACACTGCACCTGAGGGGAGCAGAAGTTAGTTTGCTTAGTGGGGTTAAGGCAGACTGTGTGGCACACGCACAAACACACCTCTGTCCTCTTCGCACTTCGTTACCACTCCCCAACTTCCCAGCATGTGCTATCTGAGGCAGATACCTCTCTCTGCCAAATAATAGGGCCAACCCAATAATGATAACTGTTTGAAGAAGACTGGGCATGATAGCATGTGTATATGTGTGTGAGGAGGAGTGAAGGAAGCAAAGCCACACTTTTCTGCATGTTAAAAGCTCCCCACCCCCAGGACTATTTTGGCTGCCGCACCCTGGAACAGAGCTTCTGAAGCTCCAAGGTAGGGTCAGAAGAGGAATCCACCAAACTCAGACTTCCAAGCAGGCACAACTGACTCAAGCTGGGCAGATCATGACTCAAATCAGATCATGGGTTCACTTCAGAATCCACTGTTCTGAGGGTCCCTCTATGAAGCAGTCCAAGAGGCTGCAGTGTGATCTCCATTCCTCCAAAATTTATTTCTTTCCACACAGTCTGGAGTGGCTAGCATTTGGTGCTGCTGCTTGTTGCTGTATACCGTGAATACAATACAGCAAGTCCCCTGGGGAGCAATGGGACCTAATGACATTCTGTTGCTTTCAGAAGGAATTAGAAGGAAGTTTTCATGGCTGCCACCATGTAAACACAAAAGGTGGTGGATTACCTGTTTTAAAAGTTTAAAGGAAAGAAGTATATTTTAGATCAATGGAGCACCCTTGGAAGTACTTAAAAAAAAAAACAACAGCTTTGTGTTTCTTTGTGGATTTTTAATAATTTTCCCTTTAAAAATCCACATGGAAATTTGATGGACTTAGTTCTGTCCCCATGGAGAACTGATGTGGACCAGACTTTAATGGGTCCATCCATCCCTGCTCCAGGGCGACATGAATTACTACTTTGTTCAACATTGCTTAGTTTGCATACTTCAGTTTGCACAAATGAGTCATCCGTTGTAATGGGTGAAATAGGAGAACCCTGCAGCTCTCTGCCTCTGCAGCCCCTGCACCCCCTAGTCCTTTGGTACATGACTCTCCCCACATGTTTGCATGTTGCAGTGGAAAGATGAAAACAAGGAAGGACAGCTCACTTGCTTTCAGATCTTCTTGTGACCTATAAAAGAGTCTTGCTGAATCTTAACCATTTGAGTTTTTGCAGAATCTCTAAAACATTTTGCAAAGGCAAGAGTAGCATGCAAGAAGCATTGGAGACACTAGGAGAGGTAAGGGTGAGAATAAGGAAGGTACAATCTTTTGCATGACTCCAGATATATGCAGAGTTGGTGCCAGGCCCACAGCAAAATGTAGCAAGTACCAAAGTCTGGGGGCCACACCACTGTCCCACAGAGCTCTGAGAGCAACCTTTCAGGTATTTTAGACCCAATTAATTTAAGGCTTTATATGTCAAAATTAAGACCTTGAATTGGGCCCAGAAGCAAAGAGGTACCTAGTGCCGTTCTCTCAATATGAGTTCTGTTGGCCATTCCAGTCTGGTTGCTGCATTCTGTACAAGCTGCAGTTTCCGAGTCTCTCTCCTCCCCACCCCCGTGCATTGCAATAGTCCAGTCTGGAGGTTACCAGAGCTTGGGTCACTGTTGCCGAGTCATTTCTCTCCAGGAAAGGTCGTAGCTGGCGAACTAGCTGTAGCTGGAAGTTGGTGCTCCGAGGCCACCTCGAATGACAATGCTGGATCCAGGAGCACCCCCAAACTATGAACCTGCCCTTTCCCAGGGGAGAGCAACCCTAGGACAGGACACCTCTCCACTTCCCGGACTCAAGAACTCGGCACACAATACCTCCATCTTGGCTGGATTCAATTACCATTTATTGGCGCCCATCCACACCATAACCACCTCTAGGCTCTGGTCCAGAACTCAACAGCTTCTGATTCAGATGGAACAGAGAGATAGAGCTGGGTGCCATCAGCATACTGATGACATCTCACTTCAAATCCCCTGATGAAATCTCCCAGGAGCTTCATATAGATGTCAGACAACATGGGTGACAAGATGGAGCCCTGTAGGACACCACAGGTCAATTCCCATGGCGCCGAACAGTGGCTCCCAATTGTCACCGCTGGACACAGCCCCATAGGTAGGAGCAGAATCACTGCAATGCAGTGCAGCGCATGCTAAGTTTTATGAGAGTGTCATGATTATTCTGCTGTCTTTTGCCATTCTTATTGTTTTTCCGTTCCTTTTATACACCACTTTGATTCCTTTTAATAGTAAGGTGGCTTATAAATGTTTTAAATAAAGAGCCACGGATACTGCAGAGAAGTGGCCAAAATCAAATATTAATACTTTTAAAACCTAAAAAAAATAAATGCAGCCCACTATCCCATTCCATTCCATTAAATGGCCATGTTGATTTATGAATAAGAGATGTGTTGCTATAAAAGAGAAAGTGTAAGTGAAATTTAAGTAATCTGAGGCTCTCACATATCCCCTGAGAATCTAAGTTTGGAAGTCATGCTTATTATTGTTTATTAATCATGTATAGAGGCTGTCAGCAGCATTCTTAGGAAAGGTCATTACTGCACAGATAGTGAAGGGGGGGAGGGTCTCTGAGTCTGTGAGCCAAAATGATAGGACCATATTTGTGTATGGCTTGGATTTAGTGAATTATGGCTAGCCTAGTGAATACAGTATCAAGGCTGTTTTTAAGTTGGCAAACGTGGCAGACCTGTGCAGTACGTCACCGATTTGTCAGAAATATTCTTCGAACCACCACAGACCAGCAGCATGGAGACAATCAGCCAGGCCAAATTTTGAGCTGGAAATTCACCATTTCACTATCCTCAAATTATCCAGATGATCACCAAGGTTCATAGACATGTACCAACCCCCACCCCACCTGTAGGATTTTTTATTAGTATTATCATTCATTGCAATTGGTGGGTTACTTCTTTTTTATATAACAAAAAGTAACCCAAAGCAACTCACAAAAATAGCACAAAGGTTGGAATGCATATAAAAACCAAAACAAACTGAAAACCCCAAAACACGGCATTCTTGGCAGTGGTGCTCTCCCTGTGGAATGCCCTCCCTTCAGATGTTAAGGAGATAAAGAACTACACAACTTTTAGAAGACATCTGAAGGCATCCCTGTATAGGGAAGTTTTTAATGTTTGATGTTTTATATGTGCTGGAAGCCCCCCCAGAGTGGCTGGGTACAAATAATAAAATTATTATTAATTGTTATTACTAAAAAGGCAGGTCAAATGCATCCCAGCTGCTGAAAGGAGGCCACAAAAATCTAAAACCCTCCAGTTTAAGGGATGAAAGCCTAGGTAAAAAGAAAGATTTTTGCCAGCTGATAGTGGTGGCGCCAGGAATGCCTCCCTGGGGAGAGCATTTCATAAGAAGGGCTCATTCTCATGTTGCCAGCCTCCGAACCACCCTTGGAGGGGGCATGGAAAGAAGGCCCTCAGGTGCTGAATGTATCTTCAGTTTCCAAAGCAGTGCTGTTTATTCAAACTGCAGATTAGTTCAGGCGATTGCTGCAAATGCATTCAAATGTATGAGATTTTGCTCTGCTGTAGGGCATTGTTTCAAGAGTCATGCAAGTTGTTTTTGAGGCCTGTAGACTTACTTTGGGGGCAGTGGATGATATAGATCTCACGTTCCGCAGCACCCAAACCAAGTATAGTCAGTTTGCATTGCACTGACTTGTGTTACACAACCAGGTACTAAATAACATCCCCTGAGTTCATATTAGTTCACAGCCATTTGGAAAGATTACTACTCTCAATCTGGTGGTCACTACTTAAGCAATGTTTAATAATTAGTTCCAGGAAATGTGTTAAATGGACACATGTATTTATAACTTACATAACACATTGGGCATTTCAAAAATTAGGGCAGCTCAACAAGGAGAGGCAGAGAGAGAGAGAGACTCTTTTAACACAACCTAGTTACTTCATTTCCTTTCCTTTCCACTGCTGGCAACCTGTCATGATTGGATTGCAAAATATATTTGCACGTTAAGAGTCAAACCGGTCCCCACAATAATAGGAGTAAAATGCTGAAGTATTAGCAGGCACCAGCCTTTATTGTTAGCAAATAGTAAAATGCTCATCACGATGGTGGTCAGTGTGTTAAGTGGTTTTCTGGGGACAGGACTGCTAACCACAGTTCATAGGATGCTTCAAATCCATGTAAATATTCATGCAAACATTTCATAGGATGCAGAGCAAATCAGACGCTGGCATCGTTTGGATTCTGGTGCACCATTTTTATTTCAGCAAGCATTTCCGGAACATTCTTTTTTATCTGGCCACTTTTAATACTCTGCTTTATTTTATGACGTATGTTGTTTTGTATTTTATTTTGTTGTAAGTTTCTTAGAGATTTATGGTTATAGGTGATTCATAAGTAAGTGTCTGCTCGCCCTGTGCAAAATTGGCTGTGCATTCATGCTCACTTGTGCACACACACAAACCCTTGTCAGCAAAGGCAAGATAGGTTTTTGCTTTCATTTCATGTGCATCATGCCTGTGAGTAGTAGTATTATGAACAGCATCATCGACTTATTAATTTCCTTGTAAATAGCCATCTCAAGGAGATTTACACATAAGATAACTAAAAGCAGTTAACATAGTGTCTTTATATGCACTATGGGGCATGACACTGTCATCACAGCAGTGACCCATGTTCCTTAAAAGTGGGGATTAATGTCTATTAGACATGAACATCTGTGTTAGGAGGCAGCACGCCACTGAATCATAGTTGCTGGGAAGGAAAGGCAAGAGGAGTCTATTGCCTTCATGCTGTGTTTGTGGGTTTCCCAGGAACCTGAACTATAGAAGTGAATGGTTGCTATTGTATTTCCTATGGGGGAAAATGAAAGGATGTAATGGAAGACATAAGTGGGGAGGGGGCTAAACCTGCCCTGTAGTGATGATCCCAGTTACTCTAGCATCTGAGAATTGTGCTTATTCCCATTTTGGATAGCCTCATCTATCTGCCTGATCATCCCCCATGTTATTTTTCTTATAGTGTGATGTAATCTGAGGAATATAAAAAAAGAATGTGGCTGATGTTAAGTCTTTTGGCTATTTTAACCATTTCCCTTATTGCCTTGATGCAAGAGACAGACAGACAGCTAGATAGATATGGTATGATCTGTCAGGTGACCAGAGAGATGCTAACTGGCATGCTATGTTGTGTCCGTTTCGCCCACAAAGGAAAGAAGAATTCGCTTCTGCTGCAAAAATTCCAAAAAGATCTCAATACTGGTGTCTTCAACAACCAGGAGAGCGAAATTTTGAAACAAATAGTGAAACACGACCGGGAGATGGTGCAGGCAGTCGGGACGGCAAATCTGCAGCAAATGCCAGCCCTGAATTCGAGTCCTTTGACCACTGCCCCCTCGATGCAGATGAGGACTCAATCCCCGCCTGTGTATTCTGTGATGAGCCTGAATTCTCCAACGCCGAGCACACAGACGCCTCAGCAAGCTACCGTTTTCTCCCCCTGCTCCTACCCTTCCGCAGTCTGCAGCCCACCGGTACAAAGCCCTTTAGCCGGCCGAACTTTTCAGTATGCAACGCCTACAGCTTCACAGTTGTCGCTGCTGCAGCAGCAGCAACAGCAGCAACTGCAGCAGCAGCAACAGCAACAGCAGCAGCAGCAAATGCCTAGTGGGTCACAGAAGAGTGATATCCACAAGAGTACGCAAGCTCTTCACAATGCTAGTCTGACGAGAGAGGTGAGACCCCTCTCTGCCTCTCAGCCTTCATTACCCCACGAGGTTTCCACTATGATTTCTAGACCTCACCCGACAGTGGGAGAATCTTTAGCCTCCATTCCACAGCCCGTCTCCAGTTTCCAAAGCACAGGCATCCAGGCTGGGAGCAAAGGCACTGTCCCCCAAAGAGTGGCCCTCTTCCGCCAGATGTCTTCAGGAGCAATTCCACCTACGCGAGGGCCCACGCCACCAGCTGCCACGCTGCAAAGGGATTCTTCCGCAGTCTTAAGCACGGAACTAGAGGGCGATAAACCACGGTTTGCTTCAAACTTATGATTCATGCAGACTTCAAATAAGCGGAGACTGACATAAAACTGAGATCACTCCCAGGATTTCCAATAGATCCCAGCTGTCTACAATGAAAAGGAGCACTTTGGACAAATTGAACCCTTGAATGTATGGAGAGAGAGAGAGAGACAGATGGACATCAGAGAGAGAGAGAGAGAGAGAGAGAGAGAACTCCAAAATGGCCTCTCATGTCTTCCTTTCTTAGAAATTGTTAAAATGAGTCTAAAAACAGTGGTTGTAGTGTTATTTATTTTTAACCTGGTTAGAAATATGAAGAGATTTCCTGTTTTTATTCTACATTAAAAGGCAGTATTAATAATTCCAGGAACTAAGCCACACAGAAATAATAATAACAATAATACTAGTAAAAATCCATACATAATGCACCCATTAGCTTGGAATTCGCAAACAGTAGTTTTTAACTTTTCTTAAACAAAAATAATTGAGACACATTTCCCATTTTAGAGGTCCAGATTACTTTTTGGTGCTTTTACATTCAGGTTTTCAATTGAAGGATCAATGAAATTCTTCCTGTCTACAGAAAAAGGTCTAGCAGTACTGCTTGTTTTGGATGAAATCTAACCTCAGAATCATTCTCCTCTTTCTGAAAGCTGGGTGGACTTCTATCTTCATATTGGGGGGTAAAATTAGTGGAGACTCATTAATCTTACTGTAAATAACTTTTTAGACCCAAATAACAACAACAACAACAACAACAACAACAAAAATAGCTCCTGTGTGGTGTACCATTGCAAAGTATTTGTTTAGAAATTTAGTTTGCAACTCTTCACGCCAAAATATAAAAAAATTAAATTTTACGAAATATAAAATGCAACACAACTGTAATGCAATGGCTTGAGACCTACAATGCTCCTTTTACATGCAGTGTTTTTATGCAAAATTATATGCTTGATCCTGCTCTGTGTATTTCACCAATACCATCACCTATTTCTTCATTGCCCTAGGTGGTGTCTGAAAATATTCCACGCATGCTTGGATTCTTATTTTTGTTAGCAGAAAACAAACAAACAAACAAAAAAATGAACAACAAAAGCACCCTGCACCCCGGTACAACTCATCGCTTCAGTCAGCCGTTTTAGGGAAAAGCCCAAAGGTGTCTTTTTAAAACTTGGAAAATGATAAATGTGAATGGATGGTTTCTGCATTTCATTTCCTATAATGCTGACTTCAAATCTGTAGTTAATAACTAAAAGTGAATTTGTTTTGATTTTTTGAATGAATTATTTTGTCAATCACTGCTTCGGTTAGGCTTTCAGGTGTGTTCTCTGTCCTCACTGTAGTTCTGTAGTTGACTGTGACGATATTTTACAAACAAGAAATAAGTATACTATAGCATCCTGTTTGTTTGGGAATGCACGACTTGCTCAGTGTGTACTATAATAATTTGGACAGCATATTCTACTATGGCATGTGTTGTCAACCGTAGAAATGAGGTTAATTTTTTCTTCTTCTAATGTCTGCACAAAAGGGAGGGAGTCATTAACAGAAGGCAGGGTTAAAGCATACGGTTTTGTAAACCTTTTCTTTCCTTTGCTTCCTTTCTCAAGTTAACATACGACTTACAAGTGCTTCCAGAGGGAGGATTTTCCAACTGACCAGTGTTCTGATTCAGGCCCCAGTCAAACGTTGCCTACCGTGCTCCCAGTGCTTGTCGCATTGGGGATGGGTTTGCTAGCATGAAACATAACAGTACACTTTTCTCTTATTGTGTGGAACAGAAGCTGCAGACATTCCTGCAACTGTAGGTGGTTCAGCATCTTCTGTCTAAGCAGAAAGTTCTCGATTCCTGGCATCTCCAGACAGGAGTAGGATTGTCCCACATCTGAAATGAAGATTAGAGAGCTGCTGCCAGCCATACTCAGCTAAATAGACCAACAGTCTGGTTCACAATAGGGCGGAGCCTATGTTCCTGCTGGGAGCAGCTGTCCCGGCATGGTGAACATCATGTTGCTGTAAGTAATATGTAAACCAGGGCTTGATGTGTTGCTGCCTCCCCACATAAGCTATGCTAGAAAACTCTGTCGATCCTTTCTGATCCAGGTAGTAGACTGGGAGCTACAAAGTTCAGCGTATATAAGAATCTGATAGAGCACCTGTTGCAAGCAAATCCCTTGATCCTTTTCCCCGGGACATTCTTTCCTTCTGATGTGATCCTCCATCTCAGAAGCAGACATGGAGGAACTTGTACAAGACCTGTGTCACCCTCCCCACAAAGGAAGCCCCTTAGCAAATTGATAGTGCCTGGGGAGGGCCACGGTTAAGCTGACCATGCCGTAACTGAACTGCATTCTGAACGGCGGTGCAAACAACACTGCCCATCCCTTCAGCCCAGAATGGGTAACGCCTGGTAAGAGAACATGCCCGTTAGTACTGACATCACTGAGCAGTGGAAGAACAAAATGGCACCTCGCAACTGTGTATGTTGTGGTGCTTTCGTATACACTTGAAGGTTAAGCGTGTCCTAATTCCAGTGAAAAACACAACCCACCAGGAATGTTTTCCCTGTGCAAGATGCATCCATTCCAATGGGATTTATTCTGAAGACACCCCAACGGATGGTGTTCAAAGTTGGTGGTCTTTGAAGTGTACAGAGTCTTTTCTCTACAGGAGCCTCTTTGTCCCCAATGAGGCCACTGTAGAAGGAAGGGTAGCTTTGAGAGTGCCGCCCAAAGTCATTCTGCCTGTTATGCCTTTTCTCTGATGCTATTTCAAATGCCTACATGGATAAACCACACTTAAAGGTTTTAGTGAATCCCCATTCCCAACTGAAATAAAGTTATTGACGTAATTTATTCCGTGAATATGATGATGGTGGTTAAATGGGAGTGGTCATGAATCGCATACAAGGAATGTAACGCTATGGATAAACTGCAAGACCATTTATTTTTTGGTACAATAGAACCCTGACTTTATTTTAATACTAATAATAAATTTTATCCAATTTAAGATGATCATATTCTGGTCCTTAAAACTATTCAAGGTTTACATTTGATAGGAGTATAATGGAGTTGGTAGTGAACTATTTTTATACATATGTTTATTTTATTTTAAGTACTATAAAGAAACATTAACATACATGGTCTTTCAGTGAAACCATTAAAAAAACCTTTTTAATGACTTTGTAATAGAGTGGGCAAAATCTAAGATTTGTAAGTTAACTAAAAATGGTACAGGGTATAAAAAGATATACATATATGTATGTATGAATGTGTATATATATATATTTAGGTTACGAATCAAATGACTCTCATTTCTGTAATACTGTATAAAGAATATCCATTGCTATTTTGAGAATCAACCTATTTTTCTCTGTATATAACTAAGCCCTTAAATATGGAACCTTGCATCTGTATAGGATGAAATGTATTTATGATGAGGTTGGATCATGTTGCTGCTGAAAAGACAATATACATCAAACTGATTCTTACAATGACTGTGTGATCAGGGATGAGTTAGACTTTTTTCTTTTGTCTTTGCTCAAAGCCATAAATATATATATAAATATAAAGATTATTAATAAATTGAACAAAAATATAAAACAATAAAAAACATGAATATTTTATTTGATCTGTGGTGTTTCCACGCAGGTATGTCATGTTATTTCGATGTGAACCTAAATCTTTTCTTACATTGTCAAATGAATGTGTGGCAAATTTTGTAAAACACATTCTGTATTATAGAATTCCTGAGATAGATAGATTTTCCCCACCCCTGGAAAAACATGCTATTTGGTGGCCTAAGATGGGGAAATATAACTGGTTCAATTATGGAGAGTCATGTTACAATGATAAAGGCCTGGGTAATTTGTATACTCTAGTTGTGTGCATACTTAACAAGATATGTACAGAGTTACCTCAGGTTACGAAATTAATTCGTTCTGGAGGTCCGTTCTTAACCTGAAAGCATTCTTAACCTGAGGTGCGCTTTTGCTAATGGGGCCTCCCACTGCCGCCATGCCACCGCTGTGCGGTTTCCGTTCTCATCCTGGGGCAAAGTTCTCAACCCAAGGTACTACTTCTTGGTTAGCGAAGTTTGTAACCCAAAGCGTTTGTAACCCAAGGTACCACTGTATTGGTTACGAATCATAAACTTAGAAAGTTAAAACAACCAAGAGTCTTGTAGCACGGGAAGTCAAGGAAATATATTATGGCATAAGCCTGTGTAGACTACCGTTGCTGCAACAGACTAACATGGCTTTTACTCAGAAAGTTGAGTTAAATACTTCCTGTTCTAAAACAGTTACATCTGATTGTGAATTACGAAAGTATCACTTGGTTCATCTAAATCTGCCTACAAACACTTCCAGAATCAGAAAAGTAATTACCCAGTCCACTGACTTGCAGAAGGTGCTTTGAAAATCACACCAAGGAATATATCCATTCACTTCAATGGATGGGACTGGTCTGCACACAAATCCTTTTGAACACATGGGTATAATTTCATTGAAACAAGTAGGTAACCTTACATGTTCCTATCTTTCACATATCCTATATATTTTTCAGAGTGCACACAACCTTGCTTTCAAAGAACTCCTAGTGAAACATTTTGTGCTAAAACGTGAATTCGGCTGAGTTACTTGCAAGATGCCCCCTAATGTGTTTCACGGCTGCCTGAGAATCGGACCTGCAGGTCTACCAAGCTAAAACTTGGCTAGGTAGTAGCTGACAGGGTAACCACTATTTCCCATTAACAAAATACTGCAGTTTGAGCTCCAGGGAAATGAAGCTCTAGCAGAAGCTCTACTTTCTGGCTCCCTGATAAGACTCACTCATATATTTGTCAAATGATGGGCTGACCGTCTGAGAAGACTCCAAAGAGCTCTGAGGAGACCCACTGGAATTAATGGGCATGACTAAACAGTAGTATCAATAGGATTGCTCTCTGTAGACCTTAGTTGGAAACAAACCTAAAATGCCATTCTCACATATCTGGAGACTTTGGGCCCAACCTACCTATACATGTGAAACTTCCATATACTGAGTCAGAGCATGGGTCCCTCAGCTCTGTGTACTTGGACTGGAAGCAGCTCTCCAATCTCCCTGAGACATAGATCACCCCCGTCTTGCTACCTGTCAGGCTTTGGGGAATCGGCTCCCCCCCCCCCCCGTAGCAGTAGATAAGAAGATCAAATGAAAACAACGTCTTACTGGTTAGAATCTTTAATAATCACAGCAAGAGAACAAAGAACACATCTCCTAGAAATGGCAATACTCCTAATTAAGGGTCATTCCTACGTCTTGTAATCTGAGCTTGTAGCCTCTCCGCTTTCTGTTCTGACATTTTCTGAGCTCTCCATGACTTTGGAGACAGGGGGTGAATGTTGTCCAGAGACTGTGAATCTGTTAACTCTCTTCCAGTGTTTCTTCTCCTAGCTGTTCCTCATCCAGTATTTCCCAGCTTCTGCCTTCTGAACTATGCCCCTCTGCAAACCACAGTTCCAACTCTATACTGTCCTCCTGCTCCTGGGAAGATTCAGGATCAGGAGGAGGGGGTGGCTCCCACCATTCTTCCTCAGTGCAGCCCTCCTCAGCTCAGTCCCTGACACTACCTGAGATCGTTGATCTATAATTGCCTGGGATCTGAGACCATCTGCTTACAAACCATGTTCTCTACTGACCTAGGGCTCGGGTACAAGTAGGTCATGAACAAGAAGATGTGTCCTCCTCCACAGCAAAAGATGCCAACAGCCAGTTTAGTAGACCCATCTAAGCATCACACATCTCTATTACTTACCTCTGGCTCATACTTTCTGAATTCAAGTGTTTGGTTGTAACTTTGTGTACAATTTCACTGCTTACATCTCATTGTAACCAATACTTCACATAACCATGGTGGGAAAACTGTTGACTTCCAACACCCATCACCCTGACCATTTGTACACTGGCTAGAGCTTATGGGAGTTAAAAGTCAACAACAATTGGAAGGCTACAATTTCCCCAACACTGTAATAGAAAATGGGAGAGAAAAATAGTAACTTAGCATAGCATATCTGGAATTTGAGATGGGTTATTTAGATAGGCCTTTTTCATGTATTTTTTTGGTGCACCCAGCCTATCAAAGCAAAAACATAACAACAACAACAAAAACAACAACAACCTGTAGGTTTAGTTTTGGGGGATCTTTGGGAAAAACTGATGTTTCAATATGAAGGATGGTAGAAAGGTTGAGAACCAAGCTAGCTCACTGAGACATAATGATTCATAAAGTCCATTACCGTGATGCATGTTGTAAATGGAAGCATTTGTCTTTTCTAATAACCATTTCCCATAACACTGGATTGTTTTGCTGTCATCATGCAAAGTGGCTTCTGCCCACCCCACCGCAAGTATCATTGCATTCTAGGAGCCTGATTTTCCCTGTTCTCTGATGCAGGGGGGAAGGGGAAATTCATGTACAATCATAGAATTGTAGAGTTGGAAGGGACCCAAGGGTAATCTAGTCCAAGCCCTTGCAATGCAGGAATCTCGGCTAAAGCATCCATGACAGATTTTCCTGGAGATTAGCAATCCAGTGTGAATATTGCCTCCCACAGCTCTTGCAGCAGGCACAGTGCTCAGGAGTTCAGGAGCAGCGTAAGGATTTAAGAACTGGATGGAAACACCATCAATGTCCCAACAAGTTTCCTCATGCCTCCCACCAAGCTTTTAATGATGAGGTATGGCACGGTCACTTGGAAGACTCTTGTCTTGTGGGACTTCAAGTAGGGGGGAAATCTTCTCCCATCTGTGAAGGTGGTGCCTGGTTCTAGGTGACAGCATGGATAGCTCAGTTGGTTAGAGCGTGGTGCTGATAACGCCATGGTTGCAGGTTCGACCCCCATATGGGACAGCTGCATATTCTGCATTGCAAGGGGTTGGACTAGGGGATCCTCAGGGTACCGTCCAACTCTATGATTCTATAACTGCTCCTTCCTGTTCTGCCTCTGGTTCAGTCATCACCACTTCATGCTCAGTCTCTCCCCCCGCCCCGCTGACCCTGAGCTCATTAAAGGCATTCTGAGCCTCAGCTGAAGGTCTACACTATGCTAGCATCCCTCCAACCCTTCCAAAGTCTGGGTGAAAAGGGGAGGCCCACCCTCCTTCAACCCAGGTCCCCACAATTCACACACACCATTTCTTCCTGCCAACTCAAGCTCGATCCCAACAGCACTGCAGGGCTCACGAAATCAAGTGCCAAAACTGGGGACAGGGCATGTTGGCTCAGACCTATTTCCAAAATTCATTACAGCGTCACACCATTGTGACTGGGAAAATTAGGTTCATTAATTTTAAGCAGTCGACTTCCAATTTATTATTCTTTTGTTTGTATTAATGTGTTACAAAAAAATGAACCATTTATTCTTAATCGCTTTCTACAACCTGCTCATGGCTTTGTATGTTTTAAGTCTTTTGCCCACGCTTTGTGTTTCACATCTTATTAAGCCCTGAATGTTTCCACCCTTTCTTGATATGAATAGCTCACACTGTCATTTTTCAATACACCAGTTATATTATATCCAAATATCTGAAAAGTTGTTTAAAGGATATGCATCCTTTTTGTGGTCCAATCAAAAGATGCATTGGTGAGATTCCCATACTGACCTGAGGCGAATGGCCTTCAATATTTCATTAAAATGATCAGCCTGTAGCATCAATGGAATATGCGTATACTTGGGAGTTAATGGAAATGAAATGTTATAATTTTTTATGGGTTGGCCATATCATTTATTAATGAATTTCCATAACTCAATTTATACCTTAAAATACAAAAAATGAAAATGAAACTCGTGCAAATGCCAAGGAACCATATTTAGGAAGACTTTTCTGGTAAATGATTCAGTGATTGGCAGTTGAAATGCAAAGGAATAGAAAATTTTCTGCAGCTGGAATAGTTATTTCATGCACCACTCCCCTTATTTAATTTAAAAAAAAACCATTTTGGGGCAATATATGGTTACATTGGGGTTATTTATTTGAAGCTAAAGCAGTGGGAGTAACTATCACAAATCAAAGAGAATAGGTTAATGTCTGTGTATACCCCTCAAAGGCTGTGAGAGACAGAGAGAGAGAGTGGATTCCTGCTTTTTTGAAGATCTACTCCTGAAAGCACACCTGGATTAGTAAATCTACTACCTCATCATTAAAAACAAATGAACCAAAGCTATGACAATTCAAGATTTTAGCTCTCTCTTCTTTTCACTGATGCACAAATGGAGCTCCTGCATGCTCAGGTGCTATGTTAAAATACCTGATTGCATTTGCATATTTTTAATTTTCTGAAGTTTGCCTTCTGTGGCAAAGAACAAGAAAATGAGGTCGATGAAAGGTTTAACCACTCCGTCCATCCTCCTGTGATTTGCAAGGAAGAGAGGGCTGCAGGTGTTGAATCCATATTTTCTATTCAAACAATTCTATATTCACATACGATCGCATATTTAATGGACCATCTAATTTGACTCTCAAAGGCAGAATAAATAGTGAATTCCAGCCAGGCACAAGAATTTGACGTCACAGCTAGCTTCCTACACCCTCAGGCTCTTGTCTGCCAATCACTCTTCTAGCATAGCCTCCTTCAATAGTGTTTTTTTGAGTTCCAATCGGGCATACCCCATTAAACTGGACTGCAACTGCACTTCAGAGGTGGGGCAAGTTCTCATAATATCCATGTACTCTGGAATGACTAAAACATGCAGCAATGCCACATTCCCTCATCTGCAGACTTACACATGTGCCCCATGTAAAACTGAAAGTACATGCATACATGGAGGAAAAGGATTGCTGTAATTTCTGCCATTTCAGTGGCTTTTTAGGCAGCTGGAAGACTGGGAGAATGTTGGTACAGGTACATGTTGGTGTGGTAAGACTTTGGCTGTGGACATACTAAACCTTAAATAATTCTGAAGACGGTAGTTTCACCCTCATAGAGTTACAATTCCCAAAAAGCATTAACTAATGAGGCATCTGATCAAAATCTGCTTTGAGCTTAAAAAATTATATTTGTAAATATATTTTTCTCTCATGCCAGGGAGAGACCAGCTGAATACTCTGGCAGCTGTTCAAGGGCCCCACTGCTATAAATAGCAGTATTTCAGGGTTGTAAAAAGTATTTCAGGGTTGTAAAAGGAAATTACAGGCTGAGAGCAAAAAGGTCACACTGACCAGAATACAATCAAGCTGCAAAAACACAATTAAGAGCTGGTAAATAGTGAAATTTATTGTTTAACAGAAGACTCGAGCCATAAGGTTAAAGGTTAAATTGAAAAGGTTGCTTTTAGGAACAGCAGCTGGTTAGGGAAAAAGGCTTCTCTCCAAACTGTTTTGAAGCTTCAGAGAACTTAGAGAACTCAGCTTTTACTAAATTCCTTCTAATTTAAAAAGGCCTTACCTTCTAAAAATCTATCTATGTTATGTATGAAATATATTGGCTTAAATGTAATTATGCAAAGGATTTAGAAAGTAAGAAATGTTAGATTCTTATGTTAGATTCTTATTATGGTGGGTGAGAAGGTGAACTCAAGATCTCTTTAAGATAAAAAATTAAAAACCATGCACCATCTGCTTTAGCCATCTGGTTTGCAGTGAATAGGGCAATAGGGGCCAAAGGTTATCTGGTAATTGAGGTGCCTGGTCGAGGTAAATGTAAGATATATGGCTACTTGTCTGCCATTTATGGATACAAGGAAATATAGCTCTTTGTCTCCCATAAAAGGAAATAGGAAATGGGTGTATCTTTTATGATTGGTTCTAGCAAACAACCAATAGGAATTTCAACCAGGCTGATTGGATAGAGGCAGCCAAAGGAGGAGCAAGGGGGCTGGGCTGAGGAAATATAAGTGCTGGCCATCAGGGCTGGAGTAGGCAGAGCTTTGGTATCCATATACCACTGTGTCTCTCATTTATTTGTCTGACAAATAAATTATTATTTTAATTTCTCTATTGCTGCGTTGAATATTTCATTCCAGCTAAGCGTTAACCACAAGCAGGGTGCTACATTAACTCTTTGAGGGGAAGAATATATAGTAAAGTTGCAGTGTGTACCCAGTCCATTTTCCATGGTAGTAGACAATATAAACAGAAAACAACAGTAATAATAAAGTATTGGGATAAAACGTTAAAATGTAAAACAAACAACCCCAACAACATGTTAAAATAAAATTTAGCCAGTATATAATGTGTTTCTAGAATGACAGGAATAAAATTTCAATAAAACAGCAACATGAAAACACATTAGTTAAAAGTACAGTTCCCAGACTTCCCTAGGGACCTCTCTGAGAACTGTGAGGGGAATAGGGGTCTCCAAAGAACTCTCAAGAGCTTAACAAACTACAGTTCCCATGAATCTTTGGGGGTGATTTGACTGTTTAAAGTGGTATGATGCAGCTCTAAATGTTCTGTGCAGATGGGGCCTAACTAGGACCAGATCTGCTCTGATTAAAACTGAACTGAATGCTGCCCAATGTTATATTGGTCTCCACAGGTGGAGCTCCTCAGCAAGCTCCTGTTCTCCATATGCAGGTGCAGTAAATAGGAGGTTTGGGAGGCTAAAGTTTGTATCCACCTCCCATCCAGGGTTAGTCCTATTGCTGCTATCTGCCTGTGTGAATGATGTGGTCATGCATGATACCTCATGGTATCTTCCCTTGGGCTTTCACTAAAGCACGGGCACCTGGGGAGGCTGCAGAGTGCAGACCACTAGCAAGATGATTTGTAGAACGAAAGGAAGGACACTCAGAAGCACCCTTCAGCCACCTCAAAAGTAAGGTAAGCACAGTAGAAGCCCTGCATCCCACCCATTGGACTTTCACCTTCCCTTTTCATAATGTTTGAATGAAATTCATTTTCTCATTAATTGATGAAGAACGGTAGGGAAAGAAACAAGAAAAATTGTCAATGTGGTGCTAATCTGGACAGTATTGCATCTTGTCTTGTCTTCCTCACGGCAAATAGTGGGTTCAGTTATTGAAAAACGGAACCATTTTTAACTTGCCCATTAAAAAAAGCCCTCTCCAATCACTCCATAACTAATCATTTAACACTTTCTGTACAGCAGGGTCGGCGCAGCCATTAGATGGGGTGAAGCCCTGAAGATGCTGCCCCCAGGGGTGCCCTGCCTGCCCTACTGCCTCCACCACTTATGGAGAAGTGGCGCTGGCATCGTTGTTGATTTTGGACAAGACCTTGCCCAAAATTGCCACCAACGCTGGTGCGGCTTTTCCAGTAGCAGAGGCAGTGGGGCGGGCAGGGAAAGCCATTATTATTTAGAAGACATTTGTTTAATAGGTTATTGTATTTTAGTGTTCTGTTGGAAGCCGCCCAGAGTGGCTGGGGAAACCCAGCCAGATGGGCGGGGTATAAATAATAAATTATTATTATTATTATTATTATTATTATTATTATTATTATGCAGCAGCAAGGTGGTACTTCCTGCTTTGCCTCAAGCAGTAAAATGCTGCATAACGTTTAATTTCAGCATTCTCATTTAAAATTGTGAGCATAGTAAAATGGAACGCTTGGGAGTTTTCGGTGGAAGTAGGATAAGAGCTATCGATTGCTACCATATGGGAGAGAAGGTGCATTTGTTTTGTAAGAGAGTATTTTCCTAATATTCATTTCATTCTAATGAAGGGCTAATGTCCAGTGGTAGAGTCTCCGTCTTGCATGCAGAAGGTCCCAGGTTCAGTTCTAGGAGAGACTCTTATCTGAAACTCTGGGGAAGTTGTTGCCAATCAGTGTAGACAATACTGAACTAGAAGGACCAACCATTTGACCCAACAGAATGCAGCTTCATGTTTTCCCATGATCATTGATAGGATCCCCTGATTCCATGATCCCCTGGTTTCCAGGCAAACAGGCCTTTATTGTTGCCACTCTGTGGTAGTATATCCTTCAACTCCAGATTGTCCTCTTCTCAATAGAGAAATTCAAGTTCATGTAGACAATCTTTAAGACGCAGAAAATAGAGAGTGCCATAGTGATTGACTAGGAATTTATAGGCATGGGGATTTTTTTTTAATCAAGTAGTAAGTACAGACTTTAAAAAATAAATTTGGTGCAACTGCATAGTTCATGGGAAGGGTACGTTCTGAGATCACACTTAACTTGGTAAGAAATGGAAGGATCATTAAGTACGCTAAAAGCCTTGAGCAGAAATGTGATTTCTTGTAAAATATATATAAAAATCTAGATAATAGTCTTTTAAACTGTCGCCTATTTCTATAACGAGTAATAAAGTTAAACGTAACAGGTGAATTCCTTGGTTCCTATACTTTTTTCCATTATTAATCCTTAGTAGCAATTCTATATTGCTCAGCTGCTATGAGGGTAAGTGTAAAGGGAACGTTGACCATGCATAAGCTTCCATGTGTCCTGGGGCTCCAATTGCCCAGAAATGCTCATGCATAGATCTTCCCTTATCAAAATTCCAAAGGATGGGACCAGAGGCATCGTGCAGTGGTGGCAGCATAGTCTCCCTTTCCATGCATAGGCCTTACATATGGGCCGTGGTGGCTGATGCTAATTGGGGCTAATAGGGTGGAAGGCAGGGAGACTGACAGTAGGTGGCGCTAGAACCAACGACAGGAAGTGCTCTTCCCTGCTTTGTTCTGCATGTGACAATGCTGAGATTGAAGAGGAAGTTGGCGATAGCTCAGTGGTAGAGCCTCTGCTTTGCCTGAAGATGGTCCCAGATTCAGTTCCCAGCATCTGCAGGTAGCACTAGGGATGCCCTCCATCTGGAATCCCAGAGAGCCACTGCCAGTCAATGTAGACAGCACTGAACTTGATGGAGCCAATGGTATGAAGTAGCTTCCTGTGTTTTTGGCCGGCAGTGCCACTCCTGGGATTGGTTGTAAGATAGGCTGGCTGAGGGCAGGATGAGGTTGGTGGGGCAGTGCCTCATCTGCCCTAGTGGAACAACCTCCACTGCACATGGAGAATGCTTCAATAGGGCTATGAAATGGGGAAAGCCACCTCTTCCTAGAAGCTAACTAACAACCAAATGTGCACACAGAATTTCAAGAGGCAGAGCTCAATGAATGGTCTAACTTGGCTCAGTCAAAGCTCATGAATACCCTAATGTACTAAAGTTGCCAGTGAACTCATTACTTGGCAAGAACAGCAAGAAGGACCACATGTTGTTTCAGTAATAAATCCAAAGAAGAAGCTGTTGTTGCAATGATGCAGCCTCACTGATTAAAAGAATAATTACAACCCATAGTTGTTTTAATTGTCTGTGGCAGTGGTTCCGAAAACTTCGAAAGCTGAGAGACATTCTCCCCCACCTCCATTAACAATCATGTTAAGCTATATGAGAAAATCTTGAATCCACATTAGGGATCTATCTACCTTACTCGGGAAAATCTAAATATTACAAAGTAGTGATCAACTCTTCATCAAACTAGATTGTAAACAAAACAATGGACCGACCGGAGGAAAGGGTTGGCTGGTTTTGGAGGCATGGATGGAGGCTGTTCTGTGACTTGGGTATGATTTCCTATTTAGATTTTAAATTTCTGAGAACTTAAGAGTGGAACTCACCTGCGTGAAAGTCGTCACAGGTTTCCAAATGCAACCAAGCACTTGATTTGACACCAGGTGAGAGGTGGGTTGGGATTCTTGGATATGTCATCAGCTTTTTATATATTGTTTGTTATATCTTATTGGCTGGGGTGTTGTATACTGGTGATACTGTGATCTTCTTCGGGAGCAGAAGAGTTTGATTATAATTGCTTATAAAGCAAAAATAATAATACAGCACTGAACTTCTCTGCTACTTCCATTTTTCTAGTGAAGCTACACCAATATTTTTTTATGTTTCCAACAGTGAGAAATGAAAGGCATTTCCATACATTGAGCCACAGTGGGGCCAGTTAAATGCTCTTAGAGCTGCCCGTGTCCCATGCTTACCTGTCTGTGAAAGAACGGTGCTTTTCTTTATGAAAAGATATAATCTCTTAATGCCCAAAGTGTATTGTACAATAGTTATTAACTCCCATCAAACTTTTGCATGTACATGCCTTTGATATTATAAAGCCACTCAGCAGTATAAACTGCAAGCCTGCAAATATATTTTAGTACATAAAATAAGACACATTTGGGACTCTACAACCTGGATGATCTATGTATTGTACATGCCGTGAGCCTCTCAAACAGCCACACTTGCAAAGCTAGAAACAGAAATAGCCCGTGATCTCTGGGGATCAAAATACTCCCAAAATAGTCAGGTAAGTAGGGAAATGTTTTAGGGATTTTATTATATTACATATATAATATCTATCTCACTGGGCACTTATTCATGAGCTTATCATGCTAGTTAGGTGAACTCATTAAGCCGTTGCCTGAAAATCAATTGGTCTTTTGTCCCTAAACTGGGGGCGTAACACAGCAGACTGCCATTTATTTTAAAAATGTACTTCCTTTTGCAGTTCAAAAAAGTAGTTGATTCTATTCAAGTCCAACTGAAGGTTTTGTTCAGGATGTGGGTGTGTATGGAATGACCTGACAGTACTCAGATGTGATGTGTCAGGGACCTTCAAAATGCAGCTGTTAGGCAACCTGATTTTTTTTTCCCATGCACTTTTTTCAGTTCATAATCTGGAAGGGATTAGCACCATGTCTAATTAATCTAAATCAAATGGACAAATGTAAGCTAAAACTCACATTGCTTTAAAAAGTAGTACACTGGGAAAGGACACGGACCAATAAGCAGGTATAATTATGAGAAGTATTGGGATGAAAACATTGGGTAGGGTATCTTTTGACTCCGATATGCTTTTTCAGGCCCTGAGAGAGAAAGGGGCAAGTTTGCTACATATAGAAGACACAGAGAAAAGCCTGGGCTGTGGGCAGTAGTCTGAGCAGAGTCAAGAGAACGAGTCTGGGGTTCTGGGACAAGCCAGTCATTAAGCCTAAAGGGTAAGTTATGACCAATGCCAGGAGACAAAGTGAAGAAGCCAGCCAACGGCCAGGGCTGCTTCCTTGTTTGACTCAGGTCAAACAAGGAAGCAGGATGGAGAAGTAAGCCATAAAGTAGGGTCAAAGGACAACAAGAACACACCAGAGTTCAGGAGGACTTCATAGCTCAAGTAGAAAAGGAAACCGTCTTATACCCCTTCCCATCCAGAAATATCAGTGACCGGTTTGGATGGGTGGAGGCAGCCCAGTGTTGATTTAAAGCAGAGTCTGTCGTGGCCAGCGGAAGGATGAGGAAAATGTGTTACATACTCTAAATTGCTTTATTTACAGTTCAAAGCTGGTATATTACAGAAAGACATCTTGCCCTGCCGGAGCAGAAAATGCATCCACTCTCCTCGACAGCTTGGAGAGAAAACACACAGAGTGAAAAACAGGAAACCAGTGTACGTCACATCCAGTCTCCCTTTCCCGTGAGAAACTCCAACAGTACAGACTGTGGAATGTAAAACAATGTCTTGTGACTGCAGTTGCTGCTCAGTGAAGGAAATAGAAACCAACATCCTCCCCCTTTCTGTGAACATCACTGGGCAGCGTGTTTGCACAATATCAGTACAAACCCAACTTCTGCACATAGGTACAGTGTTGATCCCTTGATACAATCTTGGACAATACATCAGCAGGAATTTCATTACCTGGCATATAGGACACCGTTACGAGTCCCTTCTGAATACATTCCCTAGCATGCTGCAACTTTAATTGCAAGTGCTTTGTGCTTTGCTTACAACCTTCAGACTTCAGCAAAGCCAAACATGCTTTGTTGTCCTGGTAAACCTGGATTGGACATTTGACAGGAATTTTCATATCTTTGCACAATTGTACTAACCATTCACAATCCTTAAGTGAATAAGACAGTGCATTCAGTTCAGCTTCACAAGTACTTAAGCTAACTGTTGTTTGCTTCTTGCATGACCAATCAAACAGACTCTGATTGTACATGTAGCAAACTCCAGACGTACTTTTCCTGTCTGTAGTGTCACTTCCAAAACTTGCATCTGCAAATATCTCAAGACCACCAGACTTCTGATTGTTAAATCTCAGTCTGTAATGCATAGTGCCTTTCAAATACCGCGCTATGCGTTTCAGAGCTTTCCAATCCTTGACACTAGGATTGTTGACTTGTCTGCTTAGCAAATTACAGCTAACAGCAATGTCTGGTCTTGAACATCTGGCAATGAAGTTTAGCTTGCCTAGCACACTCCTGTACAGTGTAGTGTCAGAAAATGCTTCTTCAGTGTCATCTACCTGATAACCTGTTGTCATCGGTGTGTCTACAGGGTTAGCATCCATCAGATTTAGTTTGCTTAACACATCAGCAATTTTCCGTGACTGGTGTACTAGAATGTTACCATCTTGATCTCTCTCTATTTCCAGAGATAGGTAGTTGTTTACCTCACCAAGATCTTTCATGTCAAAGTGCTCTTTCAGTTGAGCTAGGGCGCTATTGTACATTGCAACATCTTTCCAAAAGAATAATAAATCATCAACATAAAACAAACAGTACAGTTTCTTTTGCCCCTCCTCTTTGACAAATACACATGGATCAGCTTTCCCTTGCTGAAAACCTAGAGAAAACAATACTTCAGTGAGTTTTGTGTGCCAACACCGTGCACTTTGTTTGAGACCATAAAGGGATTTCTTCAGAGCACAAACAAATCCCTGTTTTACCTGTACGCCATCAGGTGGAAGCATATAAAGTGATTCATCTAGAGATCCGTACAGAAAAGCTGTATTAATATCATGGTGACTAATGTGTAGATTTTCCTCTGCAGCTAGCTTAAGCATAAGCCTAATGCTTTCATATCTCACTGTGGGTGAATAGGTCTCGTGATAGTCTTCACCTGGTACCTGTGCAAAACCTCTGGCTACCAATCTGGCTTTGTGTCTGACTATCTTGCCATTTTGATCTGTCTTCGCTTTGAAGACCCATTTGCTTCCAAGCAGTTTCATTCCTGGAACTACTGGAACTAGCTCCCATGTTTTGTTCCTTTCTAAGGAATCAAGCTCAGCCTTCATGGCATTTAACCATGGCTCAGCTTCCTTCGAATCCAAACCCTGGATTTCTTGGAAACTTGAAGGTTCAAATACCTTCTTGGAGCTTTTAACAGCTGTTACTGCTATCTTAGCAAACTCATCAGCAAATCTCTTTGGAGGTTTGCCTTTTGTGGCTCTCTGTGACCTACGAATTAGCCTTAAGTCTTCAACACTCTCCTCTTCCTTCTTAGGAGAAAAACGACCTATTGTGAACAATGGTTCCTCCAATTCTTGATCAGAGCTTTCAGAGGGTCGCATAGAGGCTTTCGCACTCTTGAAATCCTCTGAATCACCCGATTCAGTTTCAGATTCAGACTCAGAACCTTCATCAGTGGGTGTGGGCTGTTGTGGTTGCTTTTGACTATTCTCAGTCTCATCACCGTCATCAGGATAACATTGGAAAATTCCCACATTCTCCCCCCCACTTTGCATTGTACTCAACACTTCTCGTGAGCTTAATTGTCTTAGAGTCAGTCATCATTATTCTGTAAGACCCTTTCTGATAACCTAGAAAGATACCATGCAATCCACGCTTGTCTAACTTGGAGTTTTGTGGTGAGCGAACCCACATGTCAGAACCAAAAATCTTCATGTGTTTGATGTATGGCTTCTTGCCAAACATCTTCTCATAGGGGGTACAACCAATCGCTGAAGATAATCTGCGATTGTAACTGTAAACAAAACACGAGAGAGATTCGGCCCAATAACTCTCTGGAAGATTGGCGTCATGCAGCAAGGTTTTTAATCCTTGAAGCAATGTCTGATTTGCCCGTTCCGCAAGTCCATTCTGCCATGGCGAGCGAGGACTAGACAAATCGTGTTGAATTCCTTTCTCAGTCAGAAAAGCTTCAAACTGCTGAGAAGTGAATTCCCCCCCGCGATCACTGTAAAGAGTCTTTATCTTCTTACCATGCACATTTTCCAACCAAGCACAGAATTCCTTGAACCTAGGAAAAGCCTCCGATTTCTGCTTGAGATTGTACACAAAAATATATCTAGAAAATGCATCAATGAGAACCATGAAGTATCTATTTCCACCCAAAGAGGGCGATAGTGGACCAACCAAATCAGCATGAACAACCTGGTATGGTTCTGTAGCTTTCCTACTAGACACCTTACCTTTCGCAGCCATTTTCACTTTGTTTGCTGCGCATGCTTTGCACTTCATGTGGTACCTGCAGGGTTTAATAGTCATACCTTCAACCAAGGCAGGCATTTTAGATACTGCCTCAAAATGCAAATGACCAAATTTGCGATGAAAATCGTGAATACATTCTGCATGCAAACTTTTGTTAGAACCTGCAATGCAACAAGTATCATCCTGCACCACATCATCATAATACAAAACAAACAAACGATCAACATATTCTGCATGCAATACATAATCATTTTTCTTTGTGATGATGCACTTCTTGTTCTTGAAGGAAACGTCAATGTTCCGCTCATTCAGCTGTCCAACGCTGAGCAGATTATGTTTGGCGTCTGGCACGTAAAGCACATTCTGTATCGATAAGTCCAAACTGTGAAGAACCACAGTTCCGTAGCCTTTACTGGGAATAGTGTGGTCATCCGCCTGGTGAATCGCACCTTCCTGCGGTGTAAAAGACACAAACAGTTTCTTATCGTTGCACATGTGGTGGGTGGCCGCTGAATCAACAACGAAGAAAGATCTAGACGTCTTCTGGACCTCTGCAACCTTTGGAGTGAAGCGTGAAACCATAGCCTTGTGCTGCGTTGTCCTAGACACCGGACCTTTGCCTTTGCCTCGGCCTTTTCCGCGCGATGAGCTTTCGCTGCGCTGCTCTGTCTTGGCCCTGGGATGTCTGCATTCCCTCTTCATATGGCCTAGACGTCCACACGTGTAGCATTCGACTGCCTTCAAAGCTTTGGCGCCATCTGGTGGTTCCACTGCACTATGGGATGACGTCTGTGAAGACTCTCCCTTGCCCATGCAGCTAGCACCCCGGCGATCTGCTTCATTTAAAATCACGGCAGTAACAAAGTCCACTGTCAGCTGAGCAGTTGGTTGCACAGCAATCTGGGTTGCAACAGACTCCCAACCTGAACCCAAAGATTGTAGTATCATGAAAGAATACACAGCCTCTGGAAAGTTGAGTCCTCTCTGTTGCAGCTCATGTCTCAGATTTTGCATCTCCATCAGATGTAAACGCACATCTCCACCTTCAGCAAGAGCCATATTATGCAGCTTGTTAAAATAAAACATAGTTGATCCAGCTTCTGTCCTTAAGTGAGCCTCTCTCAGAGCGTCCCAAATTTCTCTGGCTGAGGTCTTATCACGCAATAGACAGAGCTCTTCTGGGGATACTATCAATGTAAGAGTTCCCCTTGCTTTGGAATCCTTAGCTTCCCATGCATCTGTAACTGGAACTGGGGGTTTCTGTAATCACCTCAAACAAACCCTCTTTCCGCAGAATTGCCTCTGCATACTGAACCCAGTCGCTGTAATTTTTCTTGTTGAGCTTAGGAATCCCACAAGCATCCTGAAGGGCCATCATGACTCTGGCATTAGCCTTCAGCGTCATATGCTGCTTTAAATCTTGCTGCGTCACTGCTGCAGCTGCTTCATTACAAAGGCACACTTAAAAGTTACTTTCGATTTCCCCAGCATAGTGACTTGTGCCTGGGAGCCTTTTGCCTATTCCCGGCAAAACCGGCTTTAAAAGTTCAAAGTCCAGCCATAAAGCCATTAACTTGAAGCTGGCAGGCTGCCCGGAGCAGTAGCACATACCTCATCAATCACTTCTACGCGCAGAGCAGATTCCGTTCCGATCCGTTCCTCTGCATTCCGATCCTTTGCCGGCACTCCGATTCGACCCCTGGAGTCCATAACCACGTGTTGATTTAAAGCAGAGTCTGTCGTGGCCAGCGGAAGGATGAGGAAAATGTGTTACATACTCTAAATTGCTTTATTTACAGTTCAAAGCTGGTATATTACAGAAAGACATCTTGCCCTGCCGGAGCAGAAAAATGCATCCTCTCTCCTCGACAGCTTGGAGAGAAAACACACAGAGTGAAAAACAGGAAACCAGTGTACGTCACATCCAGTCTCCCTTTCCCGTGAGAAACTCCAACAGTACAGACTGTGGAATGTAAAACAATGTCTTGTGACTGCAGTTGCTGCTCAGTGAAGGAAATAGAAACCAACACCCAGGACCTGAAGACAAAGACAAAGCATAAATGAATATTCAATAGAAAGACCACACATGAAAGAGCTGGGAGATTTTATTTTTTATCCCAGATGGTTTTTATATTGAATTTGATATGTGTGCATTTGTAATTGTTTAACTGTTTTTTTAATATGCAATTGTTCATATATGTCTTTATTGCAGTGTGAAGTTGCTTTGAAATGCTTCATAGGAAGCAATTAACAAATGGATTAAATAATAACAGTTTCCACATCTTTCTGGGATATTTAGGTACAGTCAGTCTGTTTCACTGATGCTGAGGAAGAGCTGTCTTGCAATTGCTTTATTTTATATCTGGCCTTTCTACCTGCACAGGACTCAAGGTGGCTCATAGCATAAATTAAAACAGATAAAACTAAAAGGTGGGATAAATCTAAATATTTTAAAAACCAATTAAATAAGTAACACTATTTTAAAAACCAATGGGAAAACAGTTAAATCCATTTAAAAGCACACACACAAACCTCCTTCTGGTCAGCAATCCAGCCCCAGAATCTTGGACCAGCTTAGGTTTCTGAACACTTTGCAAAGGCAGCCCCATGCAGAGTGTGTTACAGTAATCTAAATGGGATGTAATCAAGGCATGTATCACTGTGGCCTTTCCTGCAATGCTGACCTACTCCTCTTCTGTCTATGCCATGGGTAGGCAAACTAAGGCCCGGGGGCCGTATCTGGCCCAATCGCCTTCTAAATCCAGTCTGCGGACATTCTGGGAATCAGCTTGTTTTTACATGAGTAGAATGTGTGCATTTATTTAAAATGTAACTCTGGGTTATTTGTGGGGCATTGGAATTTGTTCTTTCCCCCCCCAAAAAATAGCCCCCCCACAAGGTCTGAGGGACAGTGGACCAGCCCCCTGCTGAAGAAGTTTGCTGACCCCTGAGACTCTATGCTATCCTGCAACTGGAACAGGTGCATCACTTTGCAAAACTTCATTATACCATGTGTTTGAGAGCCTAGTCCTTCTGGACGTAGGTGGTTCCACACACAAACCCCCATGTGCTGAAAGAAAGGCTTTTCGGCAAAACCCAGTTTGATGATGGCATGGCTATATAGTTTTACTTTCACAGTGGTTTTGGAAAGTTTCCTCTTCTGATTGCTCAATACCAGGTTGTTGTAATGCAAGGCTATAGATCCATTAAAATGAAATTGCAAACTTTAACATTGCATTTCCCATCTCCTGATCATTTTCAATCTTCTGGAACATGTGCTACTGCAATTTCTCATCAGCCGTACCTGTTCAGTTTTAACACTTTTGGAAATGTGGAAAGGAAAGTTGAAAACGGAGATGTATCTGATACTGACCCACCCTTTCATTTTCCAAGAGTCTAGTCACAAGGGGAAGATGTTTCTCTGCCCTGACTAATTCATCTAATTTCCTGTTTCCTCCATCCCATTACTAACTGCCCTTTGTTGACTTAAATTGATTTCTAAACTTCCTGTTGTTTGGCAAACCCTTAAAACATGCTAATATTAGAAATGTGCAGTCAATAGATGTCTAAATCAATTGTGGGGGGGGAACCACACATTTTATCTAGGAGTAAAACATATTGAAATAGTGGGATATTACACACAATTTTGTACACCAACATCCTAAAGCGGAGGGGTTTTCATGATAGGCAGCACCTAAATATTTTAAAGCAATAATCAGAAGAAAAGAAATAGAATACAGGGTATCCTAGGTAAGCATAAGACACTGAATTTTTTTCTGTGGCAAGGCAGCTGATATAATATTAAAGATAAAATGAAGCTACAATCTTCGTTTGGGCAGGGGTTACATTCCAGACCCTCGTGAACATCAGTGGGGCCTGCATAAAGCATTCCACTGCCACTATTCCTTGCTTTTAGTGATGTTTTAGTGATGTTTTGGGGTCACGTCCAGGTTCAGTGCTGTGTGCCCCTGAGTGATCGCCCATCAATTGGACATACATAAATCGGTCGTTGCCTATATTTGCTTACAAGGTTAATAGGGTTAATAAGTGTTGAATAACACATTATGGCAGTAAGAGTTTATATCTTTTCATAAAGAAAAGCACAGTTCTTTCGCAAACAGGTAACCATAGGGCATGGGCAGCACCAAGTGCATTTAACTGGCCCCACCGTGGCTAAATTTTATGGAAATGCCTTTCATTTCTCACTGTTGGAATTTTATTTTATTTAAAAAAAAGGGAAAATAAAAACTGAAATTATGACATGCACACCCCCAATATAGAATAGGAGAATATGATGAGTTGTTCAGTGTTGGTGTAATATGGCTTTTAAAAATCCATTTTTCCTCCACCTCAAAGAGATTATTTGTTTTAACAATTTATTTGCAACATCCAGGGCCGCCTTACCCATAGGCGCTAGGGGTGTGGGGCACCCAGGCACTGGGCTCTCAGGGGCGCCAGGCTGAGAGTAGAATGTGCTATAGGATTTTTCCAGACCCGACAAATCATCCTTTTAGTTGCTGCTAAAAGGGAAGCTGTCTTTTCAAACACACTGAGGTGTGATATTCCCAAGAGACACGTATAAAATCACAACTGGCTCCCTTGCAAGTTCACAGCCTGGGTTGTTCCTTATTTCTGCCAGAAGAGATTCCTCAGCAGTGTTTATTACAGGGCATTCCCACAAAGTATGAATTAGATTATTTACACGTCCACCATTGATCACTGGTTGTTGGATAAATTTTGCTTAATCTAGCTAGTGTTCTACCGATGAATACTATTTTAAAAATAAGATTCATTCTCAGATTAATAAAAAATGGAGATATATGGAGGGATTAGAATAAAAAAAGGCTTCTCAATAAAAATTATGAGAAAGTCCCATCAGCTGTCCACCTCACATATTAAGACTGCACACACACCATAGATTTAAAGCACATTGTTTTCCCCAAAGAATTATGGGAACTGTAGTTTGCTAAGGGTGCTTGGAATGGTAGCTGTATTGCACATGAACTACAGTTCCCAGAATTCTTTTTTGGGGGGGCAGAGATTTGCTTTAGATAGATGGTATGCTTTAAATGTACAAAAAGCTAATACAGTGGAGAAATTAAGGGGTGCTCTAATATGCTGTGGTATTAAAGGTAAAGGGAACCCTGACCATTAGGTCCAGTCGTGGCCGACTCTGGGGTTGCGGCGCTCATCTCGCTTTATTGGCCAAGGGAGCGTACAGCTTCCAGGTCATGTGGCCAGCGTGACTAAGCTGCTTCTGGCAAACCAGAGCAGTGCACAGAAACACCGTTTACCTTCCTGCCGGAGCGGTACCTATTTATCCACTTGCACTTTGACGTGCTTTCGAAGTACTAGTTCAGATATTATTAGTGTAGTTTGAATATGTAGGTCTTCCATTTTCCAGGGACCTTTGGGTGAAGTAGATACCATAAGTATCTAAAACAAACAACTCCCTACATAATAGTTACCCCTTCTTTAAAAAAATTGGGAGAATGCATCATGTGCCTTCAGACCATATCTTGGTGCGTATGCATATGTGTGACTTATTGGTCCTAAAAACAATTCTTCTTTTTCAACATATAATTCACTGTTGATAGCATAATACCTTGTATCCTTTGTCTTGCCATCAAGGACCACATATACAGAACAGAACTAGTTTACAGCAAAGTCCTGGATTCCAGAGCACAATCATAAGTATTGTGATTACTACTTATTGCAAGCAATTTGACTTGAAGTACTAAAATTGTGACT